TATTTTTAAAGTTGTAATAAAATTTTAAATTATTCTTAAAGGTGTTTCAGCAATTTTCCAGAATTTATAATCATAAAAAAAATATTATGCCTAGGCGCCAGGATTACAATAAACTATACATGAGATCTTATATGAGAAAATATCGTAGCAGAAAAAAAGACCATGATTTTGTGAATGACAATGTTGAAGTTGATGTTAATGATTCAGATTCAAATGAATATCAATCTGCAATGCATTATCCATTCCAAAGTAGTGATAGTGCTGAACAGTTTTGTTGTGATTATAGCAATGAATTTGGATATAATGAAGCTGTGTTGCCTTCATCAGATGCCTCTGATGGTGGTATTCTAGATACAAATGATTTTCAGATGAAATTAAGTAGACTCATCAGTAGAAATAACTGCTCTCGTGAATTTGTAGATGGTTTGCTGAAACTATTAATAGAGAATGGGCACCTATTATTGCCAAAAGATTCAAAGACTTTGATGAAAACTCCAAGAACAACCCATGAAGTTCAAAAATGTGGAAGCACCTTCTTACATTTTGGTTTACAAGAAGGCATTAAAAAGTGCTTACTTGCAAATGCAGATTATTTTAAAAATAACAATACTATTGATTTATACATAAATGTAGATGGTTTCCCACTTTTTAAGTCCACTGGAATTTCTTTTTGACCGATATTGGGATATTTTGGATGTCTTGATGTTTTTATAATTTCCTTGTTTTTAGGTAAAAATAAACCAGATAATGTGCATGATTTTCTTAGTGAATTTATTTCAGAATTTCAAAATTTATCTGGAGCGATTATTGTAAATGAAAAACGTTTTTCTCTTTCTTTAAAATTTTTTATTTGTGATGCAACTGCTCGTTCATTTTTGAAATGCATCGTCAGCCACACAGGTTACAATTCTTGTGAGCGTTGTCAGATTGAAGGAACATATGTTCAACATAGAGTTGTTTTTAACAGTACAAATTTAGTGAATCCTCGAACAATTGCAGATTTTAAGGAATTTGCGTATGCAGGGGTTCATCAAAATGGGCAATCACCGTTAATTCCCATGTTTACGTCAATTTATCTATTCACCTTAGATTCTATGCACCTAGTATATCTTGGCGTTGTAAAAAGATTATTGACATTTCTGAAACGATGTCCTCGCATTTGTAAGTTGTCGAATGTGCAAATTCAAACAATCAACAGTAAATTAATAGAGCTCACTGGAACTTTGCCATCCGATTTCGCACGACAACCACGTACGTTATGTGATTTAGATCGTTGGAAGGCAACTGAATTTAGGTCATTCTTATTGTACACTGGTCCGTTGATTTTAAAATCGGTTTTATCAAAAAAATACTATGAACATATTCTTGTTCTGCACATTGGTATTTGTATATTTTGTAATTCAAATAAAAAATCTAGAGACCATTATCATGATTTTGCGAAAAGGTTTTTAATATATTTTGTTCAGAAAGCAAAACATTTGTAAGGTCCAACGTTCACTGTGTACAATATACATGGACTAGTACACTTGCATGAAGATTTAGAATTTTCAGGCAAGTCACTAAATGAAATTTCGGTTTTTCCATTCGAAAACTTTATGAAATCACTTAAAAAAAATGGTAAAAAATGCAAGCAACCCAATTGCACAAGTAGCAAAAAGATTATCAGTAAATAGACTTGAAAGATCAATGCAGATTGCTAAGCCTATAATTTCAGTTAGAGAAAGAGATTCATTCTTTTTTTTTATAAAGAAAGAAAAATATGCAGTTGTGCGACAAAAGATTGACAATGATCATTTCCAGTGTGATACATTTAAATTAGCAAAATGTGAAAACTTCTTTGTATCACCGATAAATTCAAAAGATTTAAACATATCAGTGATAAATGGGTTTAGTAAGTTGTCTTTCAAATCAGTTGTTTTAAACGCTGAAGATTTATCATGTAAAGTTGTTTGCATGAAATACCACGAAAATAATTTGTTGTTGAATCCTCTACTGCACATGTCTTAAAAACTTATTATATTGTTGTTTGTTAAATTTTAAAAACTGATTATATTGTTTTTTGTTGAATTTTAATGTTTCAAAAAATTGATTTTTAAAATGCTTTCCCTTTTTACCCCCTTATTTTTAATTTTTAACTTTTTTTATATTTTGTTTTTTTCTTTTTCAGAATTTTTTTTTTTTTCGAAGAATATATTACAATATTTTGAATAAATGTGTGACCTTTTTTTATTTAAAAAATCCCTCTTATAAAAAATATACATGTTTTTAAGCCTAAATATCAAAGCACTGAGTAATAATTAAATTAGAGATACATTTTAATAATTTTTTAATAATACTTGTTTGAAATTATTGTTTGAAAGATTTATTTTGCTGTGTTTTTTGCTTATTTTTTCTTTTTGTTAGTAACAACAAAAAGGAAGATTTTTTTTTTTGATAATAATTTTTTTTTTGTTAGTAATTTTTCTTTTAGTTAGTAATTTTTCTTTTTGATAATAATTTTTTTCTTCTAATTTTTGTTACTGCTGTAATTCAAAACATTTTATACAAATACATATTTTTATTATATACATCAACTTAATAATTTAATTCAATCTTTTTATGAAGGAAAGTTTTTTAGTTTTTTATTTACATTTGTATTGTATAAAATAGTATTATAGCATTTTTAAAAATGTGGTCTCTTGTTGTGTGGGAAGAGGATGGTAAGTTCATGGAAGATGTAACTCCACATGTTTGGGTTGAAGGTGACGTGCTTCGATGGCCACCCAAGGGTCTTTCAGCTGACCGTGCCTCATCAAAAAAAATACCAAAAGATGATTGGAGGCGCTACTCCATTATGAAAACCAAATTGACACATTGTAAGTACTTTAAAATAACGAAATATTTGTTTTTGTTTTTCCTGCAATTGTTCCAGATATCTTTTCAGTTTTTATAATCTTTCAATATAATCTAGATTTTCTAAGTTATTTGGTTAAAAGTACTTATACTTAGGATTGGGTTCAAACAGAAGAGATGCCTTGATCTGTATAATAGACATACATTCTTCTGCCTTCATTTTTATATATATATATATATATATATATATATATATATATATATATATATATATATATATAATATATATACTGTATCTAAATGAAGATTTTTCTGAATGATTTGTGTACCTGACAAGCAAGAATGCATGACTTGCAACTACACTACAGCAGCTGATAGTGGCAATGACGAAAATGCAGTTGAAAAAAACAGTGATCTGAGCGTGTCTTTACCACAACCATCCTCACGTTTTAACTCAAGCGGAAAAGAACGCAAAAAGTGCAATGCAAAAAGGCCTGTTCTTTTTTCTGATTTGGAAAGTGATGATAGTGACGTAACAAGTTACCTGGAAAACAATACAAACCTAATTTTGATATATCTGCAGGTGTCAGTTTACTTTTAACAGTAATTTTTTAGATGCTTTTCTCTGTTGTATGAAATTAAATTTAATAGTGCCTTCTTTAAACTTTCTTTATGATTTGTAAAATAGTTTATGTATTGTTTATTCAATACGATAAAAATGGAGTTAAAAAAAAGTGGGTTTAAAAGAGTGATTTTTTTTCTTATCGTAGCAGTAGGCGTGTCTGATGAATTTATTCCTATGTCAAATACAAGTTAGTTGGTCATTTGTTGCTATGGTTTTTTTAGTATTTTAATAAATAATTGAATTAAAATTTTCTTTTCGAATTCATAGTTGAAAATTTCTTAAACATTGACTTTTTCCTTCCAAAGGTTAAAACACTGCAGTTGTCTATATTAAAATACATTATTATTTTAACAGGTTTTCAAGGCTCAGTTCTTTCATTTCAACAAAACGTTGTTCGATGGATGCGCAACAACAGGTGCTGCAGTGAGAACAGTTTAATTAGCAGTCCAATTAAATGTTCGTTGGTTTATGATACGGACGTGATCACCACTATCGATGAGTATATGGAATTTGAACAAAATCTATCGGATGACTCGTTTCTATCTGTAAAAGTAAATTATTAACAACTTTTATATCTTAATAATAAATAATAGGGGGCGTGATAAATGGAGGGGGCGGCATTCGTATATAAATTTAATTATTTAAATTTATATCTGATAAATTTTTTCTTTCTAGCTGACGCAACTTCGCCTTGTTGGAGGATACGATTGGAGATATGGCGTCAAAAGCCTCGTGAAACGTGTTATGAGCAGAGATGTAATGGCTAATTTAAACATGCAGGGTCATAGTAAAGGAACAAATAAAAAAATAAAATTTGCAGATTCAAAAGTATACCGAAGACATCTACATTTAGATTACTAAAAGGTGTTTAAGTAATAGACGTCTAAAAGATTACTGATAAGAGACGTCTTAATGACACGTGATAGGCAGATATCTTACAGATAACCAGTATAAGTTGTCTCAATGATATCCGAATTTACACGGCTGTAAGATGTTATCATCGCGATGGCTTTAAGATGACTCAAATAAGCTGTCTCAAAGAAATCAGAATTTAGCCGTGTACAATGCGATACAATCTCGCTGTATTTTAGATTTCTTAAATAAGATATCTCAAATCCATCGGCAGTTAGACGTCTAAAAGGTGTTAACATTTAGGTTGTCTTTTAGATTTGATTGAGACGCCGGTGGAAGACGTTAATTAGGCGTCTCAAAGACAGTTTTGTGCCGGCTGGGAAAGTGCTGTAAAGCTTAAAATCACTTATAGTTTAAATTCTAAAATTAATTGTGTTTTTGCCATAGCAAATAAATATAAATCGCAAGCAATGTTAACTAAAATATTAAATTCTATGCTACAAGCTTTTTTGAAAAGTTTGGTTTTTATTTGAATATTTACACAAAAAACGGGGGTATTCTAAGAAGCTAATATAATAAAAACAAATCTATTATTTGTAAAAATACATTTATTCATATTTTATGATTAACATTATTATATGTTGTTTATAAGAAATTTATTTAATTAGAAGATAAAATTGTAGTTTTTAAGATAAAGTAAAAAATATAGTGTTAAAAATCAACTTTTGCTGTAACGTTTATTGTATTGTAGAGTGTATTAGCCCCCAGTTATTTTAAAGATTACTTTGCGCTTGCTCGAAAAAAAAGTTTCCGTGAAGTTTTTTGGCAAACTTAGAGTTTGCGGAAAGGTGTATTAAGAGGAAAATATAATCCGGATATCTAACCTAAACAATATTCCACATTTTCATAAAATGACCTGGATGATCAATGAAATTGTTACAGTGATGTCATCTACACGATCGTTGTATTTGTTTATTTGCGGACCATTAAGTAGTTAAGTAGAGTTATATAAAGTAGCGGTTAGCAACCCGTAATACGGGTTGTTAGTAATTAAATTAAAAACAAAAAAAAAATGCGTTTAGAAAAGTCTAGAAACTACTTTAAAATAGAATTGATTTTACTCAAAAACTCGGAGCATGGGTTCCTCACAAGCTCAACAAAGAAAACAAAGAAAAACGCCTTCAAATTGCTGCTTAACATCTCGCCCGCCACCGAGCAACACATGGACACAAACAGCACTTTTTGTATCAAATCATCACGGGAGATAAGAAATGGTGTCTGTACGTCAATGTGAAGCAAAGAAAGGAGTGGGTGGCCCAAGGAGAGATGCCGAAGCCGAGAGTCAAGCAAGAGTTTCACCCAAAAAAGGCTATGATCTGCGTTTGGTGGGACTGGAAAAGCATGGTGCAACGAAACGCCACTGTCAACAAGGAGGTTTATATTGCCCATGTCAACAAGGAGGTCTACATTGCCCAAAATATAAAAGCCTAGAAAATGACTAAAGTTTTATTACCACTATTAAATCAAAGGCATGCGTGGCAATATGGCCGCTTCATATTATAAATAAATAAATAAATATATATATATATATATATATATATATATTATATATATATATATATATATATATTTTGATTATATATTGAATTAGTTTTTTATTCCTCCTTTATTCCACCATTATGACAAACCCCAACTTAACTGGTTATGTGCCCAGAAGCCAAAATCAAAGTTTATTATTCGATGGAGACGGAAGAGAGTTTGAATTATGAGAATTAAAAATATTAGGATACATGAAACTTAAAGAATTAAAAGATGTTATTACTGGAACTCAAGTCGTCAATGACGATAAAAACGAATTAGCGTTTGCAGAATTAATTCAATACCTAGTCGAACAATCGCTTTCATTGGTAATGAGATGAAGGAAGAGAAGCATTCTCAATACTTAAACAACACTGCTGGATGTAGCAAACCAAGAATTATAACAATATACAATCAACTTACAATTCTTCAAAAATTAAATTCGGAGTCAATTACCGACTATATAATAAGAGCAGAAACATCAGCAACAGCATTGAGATCTGCAGATGAAATTGTAAGTGAATCTCTTTTAGTAGCAATGGTCTAAAAGGGATTACCAAGTGAATATAAATCTTTTATTGCAGTTGTAACACAATCAGAAACTGTTGAGTGTTTCCAAAAATTTAAACAGGCCCTCAGAATCACTGAAGAAACTGAAAATTGAAGAAGTAATCAGGTTAAACCAAATGTAAGCAGTATTATGAAAAATAATGTGAAATTAAGAATAAAAATATTGCAAAATGTTATAGATGTGGCACTCCAGGTCACAAATCTATAAATTGTTATAAAAACAAAGAAAGAAAATGGTGTAAATTGTGTAAATCAAGCACTTATAATGACAAACCTTGTTGTAATCAGCAACAGGAAAAAGATAAAGCCAAAAAGTTAACAGATCAAAATATTGATCAAAATCATGTATTCAAAGTTGATGAAGAAAATATGCAACTTTTATCTGAAAATGAATCATTCCTTGTTGATTACGGAGCAACCACTCATATAGTTAATAGTGATTAATATTTTATTTACCTGCATGAACATTTTAAACCAGATGAAAATTATAGTGAGTTGGTTGATTGTACAAAAACTAACAATGTGGCCCAAAAAGGAGAAACAATTTTAGTAGAATTTACTACTGAGGATGGAAATTTAGTTCAAGTTAAACTATCGGGTTGTAACATAAGTTCGTAGAGTTTTGCGTTAGAGTTATTTTACAATCTTCAAAGATTTATTTGAACAAAAAACAATAATTATAAGTTTAAATTAATCGTTACTGTTTACGACCTCCTCCCATCTCTCGATCAATTTGATAATGCCGTTTCGCCAAAATCGGTCGGTCTGGTGTCGAAGAATATGTTGAGCAGTTTTTCAGATCCTCTTTGCCATCAAAGGTAACACCCCTCATTTGATTTGATAGAGAGCGGAAAAAGTGATAGTCGGTAGGTGCGAGATCCGGAGAGTATGGTGGATGCTGAAGAACCTCCCATTCAAGCTCTTGGAGTGCTGTTTTGACGACTTGGGCAATATAGGGCCTGACATTGTCGTGGAGCAAGATGACTTGACATTGTCTATCGGGTTTTTTCAGCCGAATAGCCTCATTTACACGGTTCAGCTGGGCAATGTAGACCTCCTTGTTGACAGTGACGTTTCGTATGAGCATTTTTCATTGCACCAGCCCCACCAAACGCAGATCATGGCCTTTTTTGGGTAAAAATCTTTCTTGACTCTCGGCTTTGGCATCTCTCCTGGGGCCACCCACTCCTTTCTTTGCTTCACATTGACGTACAGACACCATTTCTTATCTCCCGTGATGAATCGATGAAAAAAGTGCTGTTTGTGTCCATGTGTTGCTCGGTGACGGGCGAGATGTTAAGCAGCAATTTGAAGGTGTTTTTCTTTGTTTTCTTTGTTGAGCTCGTGAGGTACCCATGCTCCGAGTTTTAGAGTAAAACCAATTGATTAATGGTGGCGAGAGATTGTCATTGCACCGATGTTCATTTTTTCCGCCAATTCACGAGTTGTTTGGCAACCATCTTCCTTCAATAGTGCCTTCAGATGCTCTTCGTCGAATACTGCAGGTCGTCCGCTTCGAGGCGTGTCTTCAAGGTCAAAGTTGCCATTTTTAAACTTTGCGAACCATTTTTGTGCAGTAGACACACCTAAGACACCTTCCCCGTACACACTGCATATGTTCCGAGCGGCTTCGGCTGCTTTTTGACCTCGATGAAAAGCAAAGAAAAGCAGATGTCAAAAATGCTGATTTTTTCCTCCTGGATTTTCCATTAAAAAGCCAGAAAAAAGATGAACAATAAATTTATCCAAAAAAAACAACAAATAAAACCGTTTTGTAGACGAGAAAGAGCTCTTTGGAATGAATGTATACACTTTGCTAAAAAAAACAAAAACAAATCGTTGTAAAATAACACTAACGCAAAACTCTACGAACTTATGTTCCAACCCAATAGAAAATACTATATTTTATACCAAGTTACCCTAATTTTATATTTTCAGTTCAAGCTGCTGCACAAAAAAGTGCAATTGTTAACTTCAAAGGTAATAATGGAGAACTAATTGCTAAAAATGGAACAATAAACCCAATATACCAGAAAGGTAGATTATATTATTTACTCAAAACTTCAACGAGTAAAGTTCGAAAAGAAACCATTGATATATGACATAAAATCCTAGGGCATTGTAATTTCGTTGATTTAAAGAAGTTAAAAAAGTTGTTGAAGATATGAAGATTATCAATAGTAATAGTAATTTTTGTGAAACTTGTACTTTAGGAAAACGAACAAATTTGGTTCTTAAGTTTACTGAAAATTTTAGATTTATAACACCAAATGATATTGATGAAGATGAAATCGAAAACTCATACCAAAAATATAAGCATCAACCTGTAGAAGAAGAAGTAAAAGAAATAGAATACCAACAAAATATTTAAATTATTACATTATTGATAATTCTGAAAGTAATGATTACATTAAATATATTGACTATTGCTATTGTGTAAAAGTACCCACTTCTTACATCCTGTGAGTGGAGGAAAGCGATGGATGAAGAAATAAAATCATTAAACAAAAACCAAACGTTCATTCTTTCTACCTTACCAAATGGTAAGAATTTGATAGGAGATAGATGGATTTACTCAGTGAAAGGTGAAACTTATAATTCAATATATAAAGCTTCATATGTAGCAAAAAGTTTTACTCAAATTGAAGAAGTTGATTACTTTGAAATATTTTCACCCACAGCTAGAATTGAATCGTTAAGGATAATTATGAATATATCTGTACATGAAAATCTAATTGTACACCAAATGGAAGCAAAAAGTACATATTTACATGCTCCAATAGAATTTGAAATTTATGTATCACAACCACCTGGCTATGAACAGGCTAATGGTGAATTAATGGAAGTTGAATAAGTCACTCTATAGTCTTAAACAAAGTGGGAGAAACTGGAATAAATTATTAAAAGATTGTCTTATTGAAATGAGTTTTACTCAATCTGAATCCGACCCAGGCGTTTTTATATACAATGAAAATTATTTAAAAGTTATTTTTCTAATTTGGGTTGATGATATTATTATAGCCACCAGTTTCACTTAAGCCATGAACTATTTACAAGAAAGACTCGACCAAAAATGTAAAATGAAAGATTTAGGTACAATATCAAGTTTTCTTGGAATAACTTTTGTTCAAAGTGTTGACAAAATAATTATAAACCAAAAGGTTTATCTCCCTAATGTATTACAAAGATATGGAATGAGAGATTGTAAACCTATATTAACACCATGTGAAACGAACCTAAAATCATACAATGAAGAAACGCAAAACGAAATAAATTCAGACACAATTTAACGTGAAATGGTTGGAAGTTTAGTTTTAACAATAATATGTGCTCGCCCTGACCTTAGGTTCTGTTGTCACAAAATTATCACAAAATTTGTCAAAACCAAATAACAGAGATTGGACAATGCTTAAACATGTTTTTCAATATAAAAGGTACTCTGGACTATTCTTTAATTTTTAGAAAAACGCAACAAAGTATTAGTTAGAATGCATTTTATGATGCACCCTGCGATAATAGAAAAAGCATTACTGGTTATTGTTTTAGTCTTTACCAGAATGGACCGATCATAGCATGGAAATAAAAGAAACAAGTTTCTGTTGCTCTGTCTACATGCGAAGCTGAGTATATGACAATATCTGCCACATGTCAAGAGGTAGCATACCTTACCCAATTTCTGAAGGATTTATTTGAGGATATCACTGAACTAGTGAAAATCAAAAGCGATAACCAAGGTTCAATTGCTTTATCGAAGAATCCAGTAAAGCATTCACGTTCAAAACACATCGATATACGATACCATTTAATAAGAGAGTATATTCATAATGGAAAGATAACCTTGGAACATGTACCTTCAAACGAAAACTTAGCAGATTTTTTTACGAAACCATTTAAAAGAGATTCTATGAAAGTATTTAGCGACGTTATATTTGGAACTTGACGAACTATGACGAACCCCAGCTTAACAGAAATAAGTTGCTGACGGCCTAAAAAAAGTTAATAGAAACTTATTTTAGAAAAAAACAATTAGGTCCAAGCAAAGATTTTATATTTTGGTCTTTTTTAAAAATTATTGAAATAAAATGAAATTACTTAAATGTTAGATGTTGAATAGCCTTACCATGTCCAGTATTATATTTATTTTCAGTAATAACTATACAAGTCATGGCAAGTCAGTTATTTCACGTCATCTCATGTTTTTTGAAAATTTTTCAAACCAATGGTATTTAATTTCAAGCGGGTGTTCTAAATATTATTTAGGCTGGTAGTGATATCCGATTCATTGATAAATAGCGATTCGCGCAACGTCTACCGAAACGTTAAAAGTTTTTAAATATTAAATGTGATAGAAAATATATCTTATAGCTTAACAAAGTAAACGGGCGCTAATACACTTCCGCACCACCTCCAAATTTACAGATTTTAATTGCAGATTCCGAAAGATCGGCGTTTAAAACGAAAAAAAATGGTATTTAATAACAAATTTCATCAAAGTAAAGGCCTCTAACTCGTTATCGAAGTTTTACACAAAAAACGCTAATATTCGACATCTTTTATCGCAAGATAGAATATTCACTGTCATAAGTCTTCATTTTAAAATTTTTTATAGGTTTCGAATTTTACTTTAAAAAATGGTGGTTTCTATCAGCCTAAATGTTTTGTTTATTTCGCCTTCGTAATAAAATGCGATTTAAAAGTAAATATAATCTAAATGTTTGTACTTTAACATTTTTCTAAATTAAAGTTAACGTTAATTTTTTTAACTCTTTATATCACAATGGCAAATCCTACTTAAGCTAAATTCGATAGCATTTCTTAAGTAAATATCGGAGTTCGATTTAAAACCAACAAAGAAGAGTGCATTAGATGGTGTAAAGAGTTTGGTCTGGTTTCTCAAAATGTTACTTGTCCTCGTTGCAACTTTCAATGTAATGAAGAACAATACAATCGAGCTGTTGACAAAATAATTTGGAGGTGCCCGGTAAAACAATGTAGAAAAACTATTAGTATACGGCTGGTAGCTTCTTTGACGATCTCATTTAGAACTGTGGCAAATAATTGGAATTACTTATTTGTGGACACGTAGTGCTGGCAAATGTAGAGAAATGTTGTCGGAAGATATTAGAAAAGAGCTAGAAATTTTTAGTCAATCAACGGTTGTAGATTGGAACTAATTTTGTCGAAACATAACTGTTAACTATTTCTTGAATAACCCAGTTCAATTAGGTGGTTTTGGCAGAATTGTTGAAATTGACGAGTCCTTATTTGCAAAAAGGAAATACAATCGCGGAAGAATTGTTGAAGAGCAATGGATTTTTGGCGGTTATGAAGTCACCACAAAAGAAGGGTTTCTTATACCGGTTGAGCGTCGAGACGCTGCCACTCTTATAACAATCATTAGATAATGGATAAGGCCTGTGATATGGAGCGATATGTGGGCTGCGTATGGAAATTTGGCGGCACACGGAACATCATGGAACAGTTAACCATACGTATAATTTTGTAGACCCTGTTACTGGAGTTACAACAAATAGAGTTAAAGCAATGTGGCAGAGAAGTAAATCAATGTTTAAAGCAATGTTCGGCTCTTCTAATCGAGAAATGATTCCTGACAACTTGGCAGAGTTCATGTGGGCGCAAAGATTCATTTTTGGGAACAAATTGTTAATCTATCGAGTTTGATAAAATAAAAAAAATGTTTCATAAAACTATTGTTGATATTATATTTAATAAAAAACAAGAAAATCATAAATCAATGCAAAGTTTTATTTAAGAAGTTAAGAAGAACTTATATTAGGTTTATTCATTAAAACTAACTTGTGTTGGTATAATTAAAACATTGCATATTTCGTGATACGTTGTTTTACTTGCAAAATCGTCGTAGTTAATAATAGAATAAGAAAGTTAATGACTTTTAACTAATTACTTTAAAACAACGACGTTTGCGCAAAACCATTCAAACGCGTGATGACAACAAAAACCAGGTCATTTAATAAACAAAATAGTTTTACAAATAAAACAGAAGTAAACTGGTTGCGTTAAAAAAAGATGGCGAATATTAGAAGCGGCTAAATACAGGAATGACTCCCTATTTTGATTGGATGAAAAAATCAAGTTTCATTTAGTCCGAAATACAATATTCTCGTTTGCCGGATTTGAAAAAGTGTTACCATATGTATGCCCATGTATGGATATACATATATATATATATATAAATTTATATACATAACATATATAAAAATAAGCACGCTTGTAGTTCCTAGTTTCTTGTAGTTCCTATGTGCAATAACGATAATAAGTTTAACATGTTTTAATTAGTTTCGTTTTTTTCAAATGTTTTAATATTTTAAAATATTAAAATTTATGTTTAAGGCATCTGATAGCTTATCTCTAAACAAAATGAAGCTTAATCAGCTTACGATCAACAACTATAATCGACAAAACGCATATGAGTCGCATAAACAGTTTATAAAAACTGTTCAAGATTATTCTATCAAAACCAGTCAGTTTTCTGTTGATACAACTGATATATTTTCTCTAACAAGTTTGCCACCTAAACATCAGTTAATAAAATGGTCAACAGAGTTATCTCACCGCAATAATAATGCGAGTGGAATCCATTATATAGAATGTAATTTAGGAAAGTTAATCTATGAAAGTGTTCAGCATTTAATAGCACTTCATAGGGTTCAAGAGATCAAATTATCAGAACTAACATGGCTTAATTCTACAAAGATGATACCAAAATCAATTAGTGTACTTCCTCCTCAAAATTTAAAAGAATAATTTAAAGATGTGCTTTTTAGAATGCCAGCTCGTAGAGAAATTTCAAAATATGGGATGAACCCTAATACTTTAGCTGAGTTATGTTGTACTAGATGGCTTTCATCAGATCATATGCTCCAAATTTGCAATATCTTGAATTCTACTCAAACCCATTCAAAGGTAATTTACTTTAAATTTATAGGAAATATTGAGCATTATGTATCGAGGATAACTTCTGTCCCTTCCAAGTTGATCTTAATTAAAATTTTGGAGGAAACAATGAAAAGAACTTCACTGGCACTGATTTCAATCCAGGTTCCCACTGGACATTAGCAGTTTATGATAATATTGAGTGCAATTTTTACTATGGAGATTCTTTGGGTTGGTCAGTTCCAGATGACTTTTTAAGTAAAGTTAAATTATTGATCAGAAAGTTGTATCACATGAACAAAAGCTTTAACCTCATCTACTGTCACGATCCTAAGACACATATGCATGGTACTAAAAAATGCAGTACTTTATGCAGAGAAAGGTACCCAATGCAAACATGCGGTAATATCTGTGGAGTTATCACCATAATAATATGTGCAATCTCTTGTTTACAATATGATTACTTTATTTATATAATAAGTAAAGATATAATAAAAAGCAGTAACTACATTTTTCTACAAGAGCCTACAAAATATTCTAAATATTTAAGGTTAGTTTTGATGACATGGTTCATTAGTAAAGAAATAAATCTGGATTTTGTTGTTCCTACTTCAATCCGAGTTCAAAAAAATGAAGTATTTAGCAATTTTGAAGTACACGATTCTGATGAAGATGTTACATGCACAAATGTTTCAGAATCAAAATTAGATAAAAAAAAATGCTGTTAATATTGAAAAAGACAATTTTGTCTCTTTAAAGTGTGTATTTTGCAACGTTTCCTTTACCAAAAAAAAAATAACATGCAGCGACATATAAAAAATAAACACAATTCAGTTAAAGAAGCTCAAAATTTTTTTTCGATCTATTTATTATTTTATTCCTGTTATTTATGATAACTTTTTAGTGTGCACATTACTTAGTTTACAATACTATAAGAAAACACAAGCTTACTAAAGCATTTTAAAGTTTGTGTTTCGATTGGGTTATCTAGTTTGTTTGCAAAGATAGTTATGTAAATTTAAATTATTCAATTATGTAATTTTAATTTTTAAAAATATTTATTTGATATTATAGGCACTCGAAAAATTGCAAAAAATTGCACATCAACTCTAAAAGTTACCCAAAACCTAGATGGTCAAATTATGGTTCACGTTTGTTATTCACACTATGGACATAAAAACGAAATTCAACATATTTCTTTATCTTATGTTCAAAGACAAGAAATTGCTGACAAATTAAAAATGGGTGTAACCAAAGATAGAATCTTAGATGATATTAGAGATGAAATGGGTTATGTTCAATCTAGATTATATTTAACTCAGCGTAAAGATATTAACAACTTAGAAAAAGCATTCAACATGAACTCTATACAACTTCATGCTAATGATCAAGACAGTGTTGCAATTTGGCTAAAAGAATGGCAAACGAAGGTAAATAATCATATTTTGTAATATAAACTACAAGGAGAGTCTGATTCATCTAGTGCATTTAAAGATGCTAACTTTATAATTATAATGCAAACAGAACATCAAAAAAAAATGCTGCAACAGTTTGGAAAAAATGGAGTTTGTATTGATTCCACACATGGCACAAATGCCTTTGATTTTTTTCTGACAACAATAATAGTTATTGATAAACTAGGTGAGGGGCAACCTGTTTGATGGTGCATATCAAATAGTGATTCGTTCAGATTTTTGAAAATATTTTTTATAAAATTAAAAGAAGATTCAGGACATTTATCTCCAATTTGGTTAATGAGTGATATGGCTTCCCAGTACTATGAAGCATTTTGTGATGTTTATTTGTGCGCACCTCTAAAATTCTGGTGTACCTGGCATGTTGATAGAGCGTGGAGAGAAGAGTTACATAAAAAAGTTCAAAATCTGGAAATGGAAGCAGACATATATAAGCGTATTCGATTTCTTTTACAGCTAAGTGACAGAAACCTATTTGAGGATTATTTACAATTACTGATGAACTACTTGCAATCATCAGTATTAACACATTTGTTTGGTGAATATTTTAAAAAATTTTGGATAAGTAATAAACAAATTTGGGCATTCTGTTATCGTATGGGTCATGGTATAAATACAAATATGTATATTGAATCTTTTCACAAAGTCTTTAAGTATAGTTACCTACATGGTAAGCATAACAAAAGAATTGATAATTGCTTATTTGCTTTATTAAAGTTTAACAGAGACAAAGTATATGAAAGAATAATAAAATTAACAAAAGGAAAAATCAGCTACAAATTAAAAATGGTACATTTAGGCACCTTGCAAGTCTTCTTCAAAATCTGTGATGATAAAGGAGCAAGGTTAGTACAGTCAGAAACAAGTGCTTACCAATACAGAGTTTTAAAACACCAAGATTCGTGTGAAGAAAGTCAATGCCTCACAAAATGTCCAGAATGTAAAGTATGTACTCATTTATATTGCTGCGATTGTATGGATTTTTTGACTAAAAATATACCATGTAAACATATTCACTTGGTGCATCGCCTTAGCATTATTGGTGTATCTACAAAAACTGAACCTCTTTATTTGCCAACAAAATCAATGGAATTAGACTTCAAAACTATAAAAGGCTATGAATCTGCAGATATCAATTCTTCAAAAGATAACATTATTAAAAATCTAAAAGACCTAGTTAGTTTAGTATCCTTTAGTACAATAACCGATGAGGATGGTTTGCAGACCTTACAAAAAAACATATCTTTAGCTAAAAATTCTTTTTTAAGTCTGGCAACTAAAAAGCAAAATGATTTACATTTAAAAAATAATTTTCCTTCAAACAAATTAATTGCTAAGCTGTCACCATTTTATTCAACCAAAAAAAAAAGGGAAAGTTTCACAGATTAGAATTGCAAAACCCTCCTCTGATGAAATAAATAGCTTATCAGATTTCTCTAACTGGACTATGAAAATTAAAGGTACTTTATACATTTTCTTGTTTCCAATATCAATATGTTAAATATATATATTTAATTTTTTTTTTAGAATCTCAAATTAATTCAAAAAGTAAGTTGAACAAAGTAAAACATGGCAAAACATCTGATAGTGTTAAAGAAACAAAAATTTTATCATCAGGTTAATTTTTTAAATTCTATAATTTTCAGTTTACACTTCTTGTTAAGTTCAGTGCTTGTTTCATTTATAAGTTTGAACCCAAAACTAAGTGTTGATTTATAAGAAACTTAGGTTTATAAATACTATTTAAAACAGTTTTTTTTTGTCACCTATTTTTTTTTTTTTTTTTTTCACTGTTGAAGGAGAAAAGGGTTAGGTACATGTCTTACGTGTAGTTGTCAATTAAATTGTTTGTTTTTGAAATTTCTTAACAACTTATTTACTATATAGTATTCCCTTTGATTCAATTGCATTTATATATCCTTTTTTTTGCCTATTTCTAAGGTTTTTCTTACCTTTAACTTACTTAATTCATAACCACCTTTAGACCAAAGAACAGTTTTAAATTACTTTGGGTACAGAAAATCCCAGACATGTCATTTGTTGACTGAAAAAGATCTGCACTTAGAAGATAATTATCCATGTCCAGAAATAGTTAACCATGATATTGCAATTGTTCAAAATCTAATTCATCCAGATGTATTTAAAAAAATTAAAAAAAAGGGTTTTGCATTAAAGTTATTTCTTTTTTTGTTATTACACTTAATAAAATCAATAATTACTATTAAAGTTGTTTACACCTCACTTTTCAAATTAATCCTTCTTGTTAGAAGATCAAAGTACTATAATTACTTGAATAAGTTATACTTCGTTTTTAGTTTATGCCATGATATTGATACTGGCATGAATGTTTATACCTTTTAGATATTAGCATAAACATTGGCATTATACTATTGCTTTTTGTACAGGTATAAATTGCTTTAATTGTGCTGTTTGTGTCATGGTGATAAATTTTTTTTGACATAACATATGCTTATACCTTTATGACATTGGTAATTTAGAATTTTGAAGCCTTTAGTAAAATTGGTATAAGTCATTAGGGCTATCTTATACATTTATATATTTCTTTCCTTATTGCAAAATACACATAGGGAAATCCTAGGTAAATTTTACTCGAGGCTTATCTAAGTAGTTCATTAAATTAGAAATTAATTGATAATAGAAATAAAAAAGATGTGTTAATTTGGATTATTTGAGTGTTTTTGTAAATATTTAAGAAGATTTGAATAAGATATAAAAGTATTTTAATTAAAATATTTGATCATCAATAAATGCCTTGTTTTTTCATATTAGATTGTACTGAATTAAAGAAAGAATTCATGGTAATAATGGTTACGTAATGAGTTTTTATATCGTAATTTAAGATCTATATGAATCTTTTTATTAAATAACATTTATTGAGATAATTGATGCTAATAGAGTTTACAGTTTTTCAAAAGCTAAAAGTTTAAAGACCACTTAAGCATTTCCAAATATCGCTATTAGCAATCACTTTATTTGAGCCCTTACAACATTTTAGCATCAAGCACAGCAAATAAAATGTTTTGAAACATTTACGTGACACATGAAATGTAAATAAACTTCAAAAAAAAAATTTGTTTCAAAAGCGAGATAAATAAGATCAATAACCTTTACAAATATTTTTCATCCTATTGGCCCCAAATACTCTATAGAAATTATGTTTACTTTTTTTTTTTTTTGAGGGGCAAAGGGGCAACTAACGCTAAATGACTTATCATTTGTAACTTTCCTAATTGAAGTAACTGCCTAGAGTTATGGGTCAACTATCAATTTATACTTGGTGATATTATTCAATAGTAAGTGGCCGATGCCCCGGCTAAAGAAGAGGATTTTTTAAAACCTTTTTTTCAAATACTTTTATTTTTTTAAAAGAATTTAAATACTTTCTTTTATATTAAAATAATATTGAATGTACACTTTACTATGCATATCACTATTTAAGTCAGTTAATGTATATATACTTCAATGCGACTACAGCTGATAAATATTGTCAAAAAGTAAACTCTATTTAACAAATTAAAAAAAAAATAAGCAAGATAATCACTGGATCTGTATCTTATGAAGTTGTGGGTGACAACCAGTGAGACATTTGACAGTCGTTAGATCAGATGGTCACTGTTACTCAAAATGATTTTTTTTTTTTTTTTGTTCAAAGCAAGCTTCTTTTACATATTAAAACATATATATAAATATTTCAGATATAGTTAAACACTAGAGTTAATTAGTACTCGTGTGTGTTAAAAAATGAAGGAAGCCAAGTATTAAAGACAAAACTAAAAGCAATAGCAAAGTGATTATTTTATTTTAGTATCCTCTTTTTTTTTTCATCATGTTATCATTATTTGATACTTTTTGTTTTTTTCTCTTTTTTCTTTTGTTTTCCGACTTAAATTAACTATTATGTTTTACTAACAAGTATTATTTATGTTTATAAATATGGGCGTGGTGTCCTAAATGGAGAGTTTCACATATGAGTTATTGAAATCAATTGCATGTATGATCCACCAAGTTATTACATTTTGTGAATTACGATTTACTTCCAATCAGGGTTAGCATAAGAATAGCTTCTTGAAAATTTACAGAGTATACAATTATTTCAGTTGTAAAAGGATTTTAACAGAAAAACTTTTTAGTAAATGTGATTTGTATTTTCAAGTATTTTCAAGTTTACTTTTTTTTCTTGCTTTTTTTTTAATTATTATTATTCTTTAAATTCGAAAGTATTTTTATTAAAATATTAATGATAATTTTAATTATGTTTTTAGAAAATAAAGGACAGAAAGTTAGAAGATTTAGATGCGAAAAATTTATGTGCAAATTCAGTAGTCAAAAAAGATAAAATAGTATCATTTTGTAAATAAAGTTTTTTTATTTTTTGCTTTGGTTTGGGAGTTTAGGTCATTGCTTTTTTTTGTTTTGATTTTGACTTCAAAAAACATTCTGGATTTTTATTTTTAAGTTAAATAACAATTAGTTCATTGTTTTTATTGAAGCTTTGAAAAGTATATGTTAATCTCAGCACTTGGCATAGTCTCATATAGTGAAATGTTTAATTTTGTAAGACTTTATTTTTTTCTGTATACTTTTAGTGAAGTATAGCAGAAAACTCATTGCCAATTATATTAGATTGATATAAGCAATTTTAAAATATACAATACTGTTTAAGTTTTGTTTAAACATTTTTTTTTAAATTTATATTTCATTTAAAATATCAATTTTGTAATAGTTTACATTATATATACGTTTTTAGTAGCACTCTATATTTAATTAAATTTAAAGGCTTGTATCATTTATGTATTAATAAGTATTATTTATTTTATGAAATAACGATATATTATATGTTATTATTATTATTTAAACAAGCATATTATAAATTTAATTCAAGCATGGCTAGAAACTTGTAAGTTTAATATTTAATAACTTGTGTCAATATTTTGCAATTTTCATCATAGTTTCGATTAAATTACTATTTATCGATGACAATTTTTGAAAGTATAATATTTAAAATCTTATTCATGTCTTCACAACTTTTGATATTAACTATTAATAAATAATTTAAAATGACTATAGTTATATTGTTTATGTGTAGTACCAAGTGAAGGCTATTACGAAGATGATTATTTTTGTGGTATACA